CAACAATAATGTATGGAGTCCCAATCATTTTGTTCCTCTCATGTCACTGAGTAAGCAATATCAATCTGATCATAACAACCAGTTAATGTTAACTCTTATAGTAAGCGATTACTCGTTAAATAAAGGCTTCAGTAATATTCATTTTTGCCATTTTTTTAAAGACTCCTGAAAAGAAAACATATAAGAACAATGCTGTTGTTCAAATACGTATTCCTGAATTTTCATCTTCTCCCAGCAGACGTTTACGTAGTGAAACCGATATTGAGAGTGAGAACATTGAATCAACTAGTTTCCATACAACGGTACAAGATCAAACAAACATAGGAGAACAACGTCAAACTCGACTTTCTCTTCTAAATGAACGTGCGCGTTCCAGACGACGTAATGAGACAACTCAACAAACTCAAGATAGACTTGCGAAGGTCAGAGAACGAACTCAGTCTAGGCGAGCAAATGAAACAGAGAAACAAACTCAAACTCGACTAGAAAAGAATAAAGAACTTGCTCAGTCTATCCGACTGGGTGAAACAGATGAACAATATCAGAGTCGAATTGATCGTCAAAGGAAACGAAGTCAGAGCAATCGAAACAGCAAAAAAGTGGTAAACTATGCATCCAGTAACGAAACTGTTCAACAACAGAATATCAATGTAGAATCAAATGAGAAGGAAAATTCCACGCTTCGTTCAACTGACGATATGGATAATATTGTACGAAATGAAAATATGACAAAGAAAAAGAAAAGTCAAATTCATTCGACTTGGCCAGCGCCAATTCCTACTGACGTGAAAGAAGCATGCTTGCAACAATTTCTTTCCCAGATGTCTATGTCCGTATTGGCTGAAGTGACTTGTGCGGCCTGCAATATTCGTAGTCCAGAACAGGAGTCAATAAAAATGCCAATATCAGAAATTCCTAATATACATCTACTCAAAATTTCTGACGAACTTAGAAATTTAATCATCAATATTCAATCATCTACTTCGAAAAACTCTAACGGTAGTGTAATACGGATAATAAAAAACACTCAAGATTATATATGCAACCCTGATTTTATTTTAGATTCTTCGACTTTAAAGTCGTCTTATTTCTATTACGAAAATGGTACTGTTCTCTATGTCAATGGCATATATCAAGAAAATAATACGAATATGTGTATACTTTGTCAAAAATGCAGTAATGGTTTATCGAAAGAACAGATTCCTAAATTTTCAGTAGCAAACAACATGTGGTTAGGTGATATTCCTGTTGAGCTACAAGGACTGACTATCCCAGAAGAAAAACTGATATCATTACACCGTCACAATAGTTGTATAATAAAACTACAGTCACCTTTTCATTCAATGGCGACTGCTCAAGGTGCATTAAAAGGCAATTGTATTACTTTTCTTCAAAATACACCAAATATTGTTAATAGTCTACCACTTAAAATGACCGATCTTTGTGACACCCTTAAAGTGATTTTTATTGGAGCTCGTCCTCCAGAGCGTCTTCAACTTAAAAGAATTCTTACAGTGCGAAAGAAAAAGATTGTTGAAGCATTGCGTTGGTTGAAAAAATATAATATACTTTATAAGAATGTCGATATAAATCTAGATAATATCGCAGAACTACCTGAAAATGATATACCAGTACCCATAATGACAACAATGGAACAGATATTAAATGATAAAGAAGTACCATCTGAAAGAGCTGGATATATTCCTGATCCATTATCTAACTCAACAGAATTGAATATCTCAAATGTCATTCCTATTAATAACAGGTACGAACAGCTAGAAAATAAAACTTTTTAAGAGCTTTTACTGCTTAATAGTGCTGTTCTCGACGTGAATGGTTCGTCGATATCTTCCGAGGAAATAAATAATTATCTTCTAAAGAAAATCAAAAACGGTGGAACAAATGATGAAATGAATGTTGAAAATATTTACCTGATTCCTCATTCTTCCAAACCTGTCAATGAATATTTTAATCCAAAACTGTTAGCAGGTCTCTATCCAACGTTATTCTGTTATGGACTTGGAGCACCTGAAGATCAATCACGGCCACTCACCATAAATTTACGAGAACATATACGTTACCTTTTATCCTACAATGATCGACGTTTCGAAAAAAATCATAGCTTTATATTTGTAGTCTTTAATTTATTGCAAAGACGTGATGCATGCTTCCATGCTCAACTTATAGCAACGAAACCTTATTTTCGATCTTCCGCTCAAGAAATTCATTCATTGAACACTAATGATATTGAGGCAGCTCTTAAAAATATTTCTACAAGAACATACAATAAAGGATCTAACAAGGCTTTAGGTAAACTGGTAAATCATATTAAAACAATCGGCGGTCGAGTTATGGGTTCAGCATATTCACGTACATCCTTACGTACACATCTTCATGCAATGATTTTTAATTAAAGTCTGCCCAATATATTTCTCACTCTCAATCCAGCTGATGTTCACAGTCCCGTAGCATTATATTTTACAAGCGTGAAACTTGATTTGGACAATGTTCAAGCCGAACAACTTATG